CACGAGAGCCATGCACATGCACCCAAACACCCAAAGCATATCCACCTTTGGCTTCCTTCCAATCCACTCCACATAGGGCACCCATTTGTCTGCTCCCACATGAGTCAAGCCTCTGTTCTTGGCCACACACGCACTCCGCACCTCATCTGGCCAGAAATAGTCAGGTAGCCTAGCTTCAATGAGCAACCCGCGTGCCGTCTCCGTGATTGTCCGGTTCGCTCGCTCGACGATCCCGTTCATTGCAGAGGAGTATGGCATAGTAAGGGAGTGCCTTATGCCATTCTTCTTCAGCCACAATGAGAACTCCTTGCTCAGGAACTCCCCCCCTCGATCAGTGCGAATTGGTTTCACTAGCCGGTCTTGATGCCGCTCCACCATCGGCAACCAATCGGTCTTCACCGTTTCAGCCACATCGCTCTTCTTGGACAGCACATACACCCAAGTCATGCGGGTGTAGACGTCGACTATGGTGAGGAAATACTCTGCTCCAGCAGCTCCAAGCTTCAAGGGGCCCACCACGTCCATCACCGCCTCATCAAGTGGTCTCTTAGCCGTTCCGAGCTAGAGAACGGAAATCGGGTGAACTTGGCTTGCATGCATGTCGGGCAGCCAAGTACCTCATTCGGCTCCCCCTTCACACGTATGCCAGCAACCATCTCGTTCTTCACTAGCTGCTGCAAAATAGGCAGGGCCACATGCCACATGCCCCACATTCCATTCGTCGATGCAAGGTGACCCTATCACACTCCCCCGTAGCCGAAGCCGGATTGGAGAATGCCGCACTCGCAATAGTGCCCCACATACCCTCTCCATACTCCTCCTCCTCCGCTGCTTCCGTGGGGTTGCCTTGTGCGCTCTTCCGCACCCACGGGCTCTTCTCCGGGTCGTTCTCGGGGCGTTTCTCCGTTCCTTCCATCACCTCCAGCAGGTCATAATGGTCAAATATATTTTCCATCGTGAAGGACCACTCAGCGAAGTTTTCACCGTTGAAATTGTCAAGGCCAAACACTCTAGGCTCATCCCTAGGCGCCATGGCTGGATCACGGGGTTGGCCTTGAGCTTGGGCTTCTCGACTGCCACCAGCACCTCTGCCACCCCTTTCCTCCGGTCCAGCCATTGTCGAAACTGCTCCAATGGGCTACCACTTGTTATTGTCACAATAGGCTCAAATGTGCCTATAACGAAAGATAGAGTGCACGGACGGATTCCTGCACTGCGGCTTCAAATGTTGATAGAATTCTGTTCACAGCTTTAAATGACATGCTATAAATTGGATCTGGAGCGTCTTAATGTGGCCTACGTTAGGCAGTTTGAATCGCACGATTTCATTAAGAACTGACGACACAATGTCAGTTTGAACGAACGACACTGTGGCAGCCACTATAGTCTTAGAACACAAATTAGGAAGAGTTACGATGTGGAACAGTGCCACACTGTCCCCAACCACAAAGGGTCTCGAAACTACCCTCCACATGGGCCTACACCAAGTGAAATGTTACACTACACATTGTAATGTAACTATTCTTACTATCTTGAAGTTTACCCTTTGGCGGGCTTCGAAAACACATGGATCTTGAAACCAAGGCTTTGGTTCTTCACCATAAACTCATCCTTGAGTTCTTGAATGTCTGCTGCTCACACCTGCGACACGCCGAACGTTCGACACACGACAAATTAGAAAACAGGCACGACACACAAACGACGACGTGACAACGCGAATAGAGATAACTCGATATTGACTCGACACACACATTCAACATCATGACTCATCATTCACACACTAATATAAGCATGAAATATATATTATCGCATGCCCTCATACCATTCCATGCACACACGTATGCACACACAAGGACAACAAGCCGAATGCAAACCATGAGGTTGCACCAACAGCACGGTCCCGAACTGACCAGATCCTAAGACGTGAGAGTCTAACGAAAAGAACGATTTGAGGCAGGCCGTTTGGACACGAAGGACTTGATCATGCGACGACTGCGACAGTGGCGACGAGACGTTGGACAGCTGTTGCTGCTTCCTTTACGACCTTGCGGTATGAGACTTGCAAGTGTCGCGCACGCTGCTGCGGCCTGTTGGTGTATGCAGAGAGAAGTAGGCCATTATGGCTGGTCGCTTCCAAAAAAGCAGTCACTTGCTTGAAGGAGTGGCCCTAGTGGCGACTACGGCGACCAATAAAAGGGAATAGAGTCGCGATTTTCACGCGGAAAAATGTTTGTAATAATAGCACAATGCCGCAGACTAGTTAGTACTGGGAGTGTGAGCAAGAAACAATGCGGACTTCAGATACCAGTTCCAGATTTTGTTCTTATGACATGCCTGCTGCTCATTTATAGAAGGGCCCCAACTTTCTTGGCGTTTCAAAGACTGGCGTGAGCGTGACGGTGAGAATTTTCGGCTTTTTTAGAACGAACCGCCAAGACTCACTTGCGATCCTTCTGGCTCACAATCGCACCTTCTTTTCCCTCTATCCACCAATGCCAAGACAGTCGCCGTGGTTGGACGAATCGCAGGCTACACCTACTGCCAATCAGCGACTCGTGCTGCTGTGTCGTTTGAGCCCGCACTGGTTGCCTGGTCGTCATCGTCGAGGCTGTCCGTGTCGTCGGAAGCAACGGACGAAGCCCAATGAAGGGTGAAAAGAGCCATTGGCGATGTCACTTTCGTTTCTGTGACTCCTGTCAGTTGCTCGGCGACAGTGACATGCCGAAATTTTAGTTTGAGTGTTGCGTGGGAATGTGCTCTGATTGGCCTCGCTCTGCCAATCTCAAGTTTTCTTGCGTCGGCTCTGTACGGCACGGCAGACGTCAATTCCCATGATCATTTTAGAAAGCTGATTGAGGCTTCCATATGAAACACTTTTGTAGATGTTTCCACTCTCATGTGTGTCCTCGTTACAAGCTAAGCTGAGCTGGTGGACAAGTGAAAGGAAATTACTTCTCCTTACATCGAGGACCTCCATAATGTTACGGGGTAGTTTACCGTTCAAATGTTGTCTACCCTAAACAGTACCCCAACCTCATCCCAACCTTATCTTCATCCAATCCTTCAAGAAGCCCCGAATTTCCAGCATGCCACTTGACACTCCACATTTCTAGCATTCCAATTTATTGTCCCACTAACTACTTTCCAACATCCGATCTTGCATGCTATAGCATCCTTGCTTGTATTCGCCAATATCATTCAATTCTTACTTAGTCTCTCATTTGCCTTTTTTGCAAATACATTCTTCACCAAAGTCTTCCGCCGCGTTTCATCCTCAACTTATTCGGCCCCGCTATTCCTTAGCAGATTTAGGCTAAGGGGCCTAACACTTGGTATCAAGAGCCTTCGCGGGGAGCGATTTCCAACGAGCGACTGTCGACAACGAGACCACGACGTCATCGTCCCGAGGGTGCCGACTTGCAGATTTGAAGTCGTCGAGCCAACATGGACGAAACCATGAACGCTCTCCCCAACAAAATGGGCAACGCGCTTGCCGATCTCATGCGCCAAATCGAACAGTTGACGTTGAAAAATCGTCAGGTACGAGCTGAAATGCAACAGCAGCGTAATTTGGATTCTAACCCTCTTGGTCATGCAGCACCATCTCCTGCACCCAACACGTCAACTGGCGTGGAAACGCTGTCGAAACGTCGAAGCGTGCTCAAGCTACAGAAGCCCGGGCCGTTCGACCCAGGTCAACGCAACACGAATGTGCGAACGTGGATCTTCATGCTCAACAATTATTTCGCCGCGAGCGGGGTGCAAGAGACGGACGCGCAGTAGTGGATCGAGTACTCCGTTACGCTGCTGAGGGGCCCGGCCTTGGAGTGGTGGCGCCAACTTACGCAAATTGCTGTAAGGGCTCAGAAGTATGGGCATCAACAGGGCGAGGGGCATGCAGCTGCAACTTCGGGCTTAGGAATTTTAGCTTTGGGTGTTACCACGGTTCCAACGCCTGGGAAGGATTTGAAGCGGCGCTAAAAAGTAGGTTCGATTTGGTGAATGCCTCCGAAGCTGCTAGAAAGTGCCAGCGTCATTACTGACAGATAGGGAACGTCCAGGATTACACACGACGGTTCTTGAGCATCCGAAACGTGTTACCTGATGAATGTGCGCTTCGCCAGTCATGTTTTTCCATCTCCTTTCGCTTCCTCTCTCCTTCCGCCTTTTCAAGTTGAGAAGGTACAGTAATTTAGCAATACTAGTCTGTTAGTGCCAGAGGTGATAGCGGCCAGTTTCGCAACCAGCGAAGTTCTCTTACTTTTGAAGTACCTGCCATGATGTCGCCGAGTTCTTGCAGTACATCGCTAGTAGAACTGGGGATGTCAACGCTGATGCCGCCAGTGCCGCCGCCTACACCCCCCCCCCCCCCCCCTCCCTCTCCCAACCTATCTGCTTCCCCTCTCGCCTCCCACTCCTCCCGGCGATAACTCCCTCTCCCTCTCGCACCAGCAGCAGGCCCAGACCCAAGCCCGTCAAGTCAGACCCTCTCGGATTCCCCCATTCGCTTCCTCACATTTGACCAAGTTGGGCACCATGGGGGGTTCAAGGACTTTCTAGTGGGGCGTCTCCTCCTTTATTGCTGCTCCCTTAGAACGATGTGCCTTTGTTATTCGCCACAACTGCATACAGTACGCGTTCGCGCCAGCCTTCATCGACTGACGACCGTCCGCTGATGTTCCCATGGAGCCCTCTTGTCGCACAAGGAACCTGAACGGGGTGATTCCATTTCTCGATATATATGGGAATCGGAAGGTTTTGCAGGGGTTGGAGAGGTTTAAGGCGTTTCAGCATGTGAAGGTGCTGTGGAACCGCGAGATGGTAACATAGATGCTTACTAAGGGGACGGGCGAGTGGGCTGATGCGTTCAGGGCGACGGGGTTGCGCCCACCATACACCTTCGGCTGCATTCTCCGATTCCTTGTCAGGTATGCTGCATTATCAGGTATGCCTCGTTGCAAGGTATATTCTTTGTTGCATTTGAGATGCATTGCAATGGAATGAACTTAGATGGTTGTTCCGGTTCCGTGTCAGGTATGCCTCATTGTTAGTTAGTTGCGTGCAAAACCATCAAATGAGGTCCTGTTAGGTATGCCTCATTGTTAGTTAGTTGCGTGCAAAACCATCAAATGCATTCTGATTCCCCCCTTCCTCTCCTCTTTCCCTCTGCCTCTTCCTTTTCCGCACAATTCCAGAACCACCCCTCATCCACCCCTTGCTCTTCCAGACTCAGGAAGGAGCTATGGCCACTATCAGTACGGTTGCTGCAGGAGATGCGGGAGGTGCGGACGGTGGTGGTGGGGGTGCATGTGCGGCTGGGCAATCACATCTCCCCTTCCCCTCTCCCAGCTCTCCTCTCACCCATCCCCCATCCGTCAGTCAGACCCAGACGGAGGTATGGCCATTGACAGCGCGTCTACTTCAGGAGATGCGGGAGGTGCGGACGGTGGTGGTGGGGGTGCATGTGCGGCTGAGTGACAGTGTGGTGCGAGACCCCCACGCTACCACCAAGAGCGTCACTCCCGCTTCCATGCTGCTACTTTGGAGGCGGCTGCTCTTACTCTGGCCTGTGCCAATATGAGTGATGAGGGCAACGCAGGGATTGATGAGGCCAAGGCAGAGAGTGGTGAGGGCATGGCAGGGAGTGATGAGGGCAACGCAGAGAGTGATGAGGTCAAGGCACGGAGTGGTGATGCCAAAACAGGGAGTGGGTAG